TGCTTGCTGCACCTCGAATGTTTATCTTTTGTTGCCTCGTCCTTGTGCCCGTGATGAATACCACGATGGCCTTGAGCCAAGTGTCCTGTTTGGGTGTTCTGGCTAGCCACTGCCACCTTGCCGATGTGCACAACTTGGTGGATGCTACTGCCACGCACCTACCTATGGCATCTGATCTTTGCAGGCAACTCTGAAACTTGCCATGAAGATGGGCAAGGCATGAGCTGGGATGCCGAACGACGCTGCAGCTTGTGCTCTACATGTGCTCCAGAGCAAAGTGGAAGGCATTGGCACAGCGCATGCCGCAGGTCATCATTGTGACCAATGCCATGGAGCCTTGGGTGGAGACATCTTGCAGGCCCTTGCCGAATGATAAGATCCTTCTTAGAGCTAGCCAGGACAGAGCTTGCCCCGCAGCGACTGGCTGGCAGGAACTTCTTGCCTGCTTTGATGCCGATCGTGTCGCAGGTGCAGGTCATTTATGTCCCTGGACACAGTTTAAAGGTGACGTGAGCGTGTGTAAAGCGTAGTATCACTGTAGAACTTCCGTTCGGTGTGGAGTGAAGTTCAGGGTTGTCTCAGGGTAGTGAGCCTCATTCGTCAAGCACACAGCAAGGAAGAGGGTGGTTCGATGGTTTTTTTTTGATGGAGGCTTTCCGAAAACTTCCAAGCCCCTGCCTGAGGCCAGATCAGTTTTCGATACTATGACATGCGAAGCTGCAAAGAAGCAGGCAGAGCTACTTGGGATGTCAGCAGTCCCTTGCACTGCTGCGCCAGTTTGTCAGAGTTATCGCTTGAAGTACCGCGAAGCAATGTGGCAATGTGAGATTCTGAGTGAGAAAGCGGTATTGCTGTCGGTAATTCGCATTGCGCAACGAGACCACACAGGATAGATCGAAGGCCCGGTTTCTCTTGTTCAGGCACGTGGTTCGTCACCTGGCCGAGCCCTGCCTGGTTTGTACGCTGCAAACGGCATGAACAAGGCAGGAGAGCACAGTGCTTCGCAGCATGTTGGGATGTTGGGATGTTGGGATGTTGGGATGTTGGGATGTTCGATTTTGCCGCTCTGTGGCAGTTGGGTGGCTCCAGCCAGCGCATGGCCGCAGCTCCCGTGGCACTCTCAGGCTTTTGTATCATTCGAGTTCTCCTTTGGCTCTCTTGCTGACGTCCTTAGGGCAGTTCGATGAGTCTATCGTTGTGTCGTTTGCGTGTGCTGTCAAGCTTGTTCGGGATTCGGCAAGTGCTGCTAATTGTCAAAGGTGGACGAAATGGCCCCACAAAGATGGAAGGACGCTCACCTTGCGGCCGAAGCTCAGCTTGCCTGTGCTGCACCGCCTGCGACGCAGGAGATCGCTTTCGAGCAAGAGATCAGTGGCTTCTACTCTCGGTATGCTCACCAGAGCTGGAAGAACATCATCTCCATTGGTGCTTCGGCTTTGCTGGTCGATTCCAGAAATTTCTGCAGTATGCCGCCTGTACCGATAACTGCTTTGCTCTTCTTGGCGAGGTGATTCGATTTTTGAGCGTGATGCTGTCCGACGAGTGGTGATCAATCGGCCGACCGCCAACAGAAAGCTGGGCCCTCAAGTAGCTGTCAAGACACTCCTGGATGGCCAAGGCATGAGAGGCAGGTTGACAGATACTTGGCGTTCTCTGAACATGTTTTTCTTCTGGCTCTACCGCAGCCAAGGTGTCGAACAAAAACGGCCAAATTGTTAGATGAACCAGAAATTGATGAGTTGGTTGCCCAGGCGCGCAAAGCGTCGTCTGAGTGGGCTAAGCACCTGTAAGCAGCCGCGAAGCAGCACATAAGTCGAGCGAGCCGCCACAGCCTCTACAGATGCAGGTGCGTGTCATTCACGACGCTCTGGGGTTGATGGTGCAGCCTTCGCCTAAGCTCTTCGGGGAGTCTTTGTCGAGTTTCATTTTGAAGGGTCTCTTTTGCATTGTCGATCAGTATTGCCGAAGCTTTTCTATGCAAGGTACGATGGCAACCTCGACATTGAGATTGATGAGGAAGACCTCAAACTGGATCTCTCCCTCGTGATCTCCTCAGGATCTCAGGAAGAAGGGCCATCAATCGTGGGGAGGGGGGGGGGTGGGGGGTTCCTGCATGAATTTGCCAAGCTGCGACAATCTGCAGGCGGAGAAGATCATGGACAGGTGAAGTTTTGGCGCCTGTCCAGCGTGTCCTCTAGTACTTTAGCCCTGTGACTGAAAATATTTCGAAATGCCACACACTGCGCTGCCATGGTTGAAGCCAATGAGAGCGGCTGATGGCATGACACGTGTTGTTTTGAACAAGAGATGGTCCTTTCAGTTGCTTAGTTTACAGTGGTCCTTCCGGGTTTCGGGTCGCCTTGCGGAGTGGCAGTGAGATGAGTAGGGCCACGGCCTAGGCAGTGACTCCACATGAAAGGCAGACCAGCCTTGGGAACAAGAGTCTTTCCGTCAGTCACAGGGCCATGCAAGTCGGCTTTTGCTTGCGGATTTCATTTTTTGGCTTGTGGATGTGTGTATGCATCTGTCTTTTCCGTGGCACCTTGTGCACATCCCATAGCCTTGCGTTGGAGTTGACTAGCCTCCTCACGTGTGAGTCTCAAAGAGACCTTCAAATATCTGAACACCTCCGTACAGCTCGGTGAGAACTAGGTGCAAGCATCATGAGATGCGCGCACAACTAGTTCGAGGCGGCAATTTGAATGAGGCTGGAAGAGTCGACAGTTGTACATGGTCTATGATTCTATGATCTACCTGAGCATGTGTGCCGAACGACAATACAGATACACTGTCCAGCAAGGACTCATGCAGAAGATCCATTCCCGTTGCAGGAAGTGAGAAAAAATGTCCGTTTCGATGCCAATCACTAAGTCAGACTCACATCGCCTGTGCACATTGACCGACAATAAGCAGGAGGGAGGGTGCCTCACCTCCGTTAGTGGATGAGGTGTTCTGTACGCCGCAAACCATCTCGTACGTTCGTGCACGCTTGGAAGACAAACTGTTTTGATCCTTATGGACTTGTGGGTGCCTTGGTGCCGTGCCGCTGTGAGCAAGCTCTTCCGTGACCTGTCTGCCGGTCTCATCTCAGGTTACACCGTAGGCTCTGTGGGTTGGTTTGAAACATGTCGTGGTGCCCGGTAGTGTCGGTAATTTTTTAATGGCCACCACCGCCGCCCCGAAGACCCAAAACTCATAACCTCCTCAACTTGTGGGTTGCGAGAGTGGTGGGAGCGGTGAGTGTGGGCATGCGCGAGAGTGGTGGTCTTGGTTGGGCAGGGGAGTCAGGTAAAAGCCCTCCCGACATAACAGAGACATCATGACCGTCAGTTTGTTTGGCCAGCTGGACCAAATCCCCGGACACGAGCACCCCTTCTCTACGAGCATCACGACCATCAATCCAATTCGCCGCGAGCCAGATTTTAAGGCGCGGCAGGCGCCAGGCTTCTCGGATCCTACGGGTACTTCACACAACAAGCAGCAGCTTTCAGCACTACTAGGGGGGGTCTGCTGTGTGTCACGTGTGTGTCCCAGAAGGATGAGTTTCTGGATGTCGCAACCACTGCGATCTCCTTTAGAAACTTTGGCCTCGGAGCCCTTACTCGAATGACGGAAAGTCTCAGAAAAATGGTTGAGCTTGAGCAGGCACCCTATTGTTGAACAAACAAGCCAAAGCAGAGGGACAAGGGCGAGCCCTGCCAGACCTGTGGCAGCAAGCAGAGTTCTATCGTCAAGGTACAGCAGGGTTTTGAGCACCGGGGGCCGCTCTTTCAGCAACATCGCAGCATTCTCAGGCGGTTCCACGCAGTGTCGCAAGGGCAGCGCGTGCCTCTCTTAGCGTATTGAGCCCAACCATGGTTCAGGACCTTGTCGCGCTAACTGCGCGCCGCTTCCTGACAAAGCATAGGCCAATTACTTCGTTTCCACTGAGCCCTTCACGATGTACTCCCGGACCGCTCGACGACGCTGAAGCTCTCGAGCTGTTCGCGCATGCCGCGAACTTGCTCGAGGTCCTTGCCAACATCACTGCTGCATTCGTCTATCCCGCCTCACAGCATTGCGCAAGCCCGCTGGCGGCGAAATTGCGGGGGAGCGCCGCTGGCGACACGTTTCGCAGGCTCGTGGCGCCCTGCCTGGCACGTGTGCCGAACGTTAGATGACGCGACCCACCCCTGCGGGCACTGATGCTCTGTCTGGCATGCTGCGTGCTGCCATCGACCTCGACGCTGACGTTGACGCTGCGATGGTGTCAGTCGACGACCGCATTGCGCCTACGACACCATTTCACGTGCTGCGTTCATGCGCAAGCTGCGCAACGTCGCCCCGGGCCTCGCGCCGTTCGTCCGCCTGTGGTATGGACCCCCTTTACTGCTGGAGCAAGGCGATGCGTTGGCCCCAGCCCGATGCCATTGTTGCGGCTGATGAACCCTTGTGCCCAAGGTGCATGCTTGGCCGCCTTCCTGCCGTTTACGTTGTGACCACACCAGCGTGCGCGCGGGAAGCTCTCGACATCGTCACCTCGTCGATCGCTCCTGCGCCGGCGTCGCCGCCAATCTCGGCAAGACGCGCGCCCCCTGACATCGGCGAGCTAGGCCGAGCGAGGGTTTGTCACTCTGGGCGCGCCCATCGGCCACCCTGCTTATGTTGCACTGCGAGCGGATTGAGGCACTGCGATGTCGCTGCCGCTCTTGGACTTGGGCGTCAGTGTGCGGACTGCATTGATCCTGCCGCGTAAGTACTGGGCTGTGTGGGCTGACGCTCTGCCCGTACTGTGCTGCCTGGACGAGCTCGATGCTGGGCCTCCAGGTACATACAAAGTCCCGTACGCAGCCACTTCTTGCCAATTAAGTGGTGAAAGTGGAACCTTTTGCGCGCAAGGCCTGCTGGGCAACAGAAGGAAGTGCGTTCACGACACCAACGACGCCATGCAGGATGTTTACCAACCATGGCATCATAACATTCTCCGTCCCATCAATCCGGTTGAGGGTGGCGCCCCACTCGTTTACGACGCAAGGAGGGACCACACGAATGCCATAACATGGAAACGAGTTCGTGGTTTAGGATATTCACCGGGCTGCGGTCTCACGCAATGCCCTTGGCCCTGGGTGACCGCGCTGTCGCGTGCCCGGCATTGAAGTCGTTGCCAACGGCCTCCCCGCTCACGCGTGCGGGCGAGCCCCACCCCCGGACCGACATCGAGCTGGGGCGCTCCGTCGTCGCTGCTGCGCTCGGCGGCGGCGCAAACGACACGGCGCGAACCCCGAACAACCATATGCGATGCTGGCCGTGGTACCCGGCTTGGCCCATTGTCCGCCGAGTGTCAGCCAAAAAAGAAGGTGTCAGCCGCCACGCCCAGCACTCGATCCAACGCTTCTCACCGCCTCGCCCCATTATGGCTGTGCATGCGATCGACCGCGTGCTGGACGGCGACCAACCCCACCATCGCCGCGTCCACCCGGCCGAAGCGGCCATTTTTGGCTCAAGCCATTTTGGCTCAAGGTTACGTTACAAGGATTTTCAAGGACCCTGGCGGCGTGCTAGCTCGGGCTTTCGTGTTAATTTGGCCCCTTACGGCTGTTTGGGCCCGCCTTGGGACCTCTTTGCGTTTCACGTGGCATTTGCCTGGCCCCCCCCCAGCGAGTAGGGGTTCTTACCATGAAAAAAAAGTTTTTAGAATGACAAGGGTTTCTTTAAGAATGATGATGGTTCTTGGAGTTTGAAGGCTTGAGAAGGCACGCTTGAAGGCAGGAGTAGAGCTTGAATTCAGTCCCGAGTCCAGGGTTTTGGGTGTGGTGTGAAGCGTGCTGCAGCCATTCTGGGCATTTTATGCTTTGTGGCTCTCGGTCGTAGCAGCCGCCTGGCCACGCTTGCGGCTCAATATTTTGCGAGTTCAGTCAGTCCTGAGTCACATTGGCAGTCATGCCATGCTCATGTGGCAGTCATGAGCCATGAGCAGTCAGTCAATGTTCGCAGAATTGTGAGCTTGTTTTTCTGCATGAGCTGACAAAGTGCCGTTCACATTGCTCAATTCCAAACCATCAGAACTTGAAGCAGTGACACAACGTCAATGTCAAGCCATCACTCAAAACTCGCCTGTGTTTTTTCATTGAGCTGGGTCAGAGTTTGTGTTTGCGCAACTGCGAATTTATGCTGTTGTCCTGGTTACCCTATCTTTGTGCTGTGCTTTCGTTTTGCTGCTGTCGGCGTGGTGGGTGCGGCCGCCGGTGCCTGCTGCATCCACAGGCCACTTCTGGCACTGCCTCCGCCCTGCCAAGTCTGGGGCGCCGAGCAATGCGTCTCCTCACGAGGCACCTGAACTCTGCGCAGGCCAGCTGACCCACTAGCTCGGGCTGTGCAGTCTGTTGACGTCCTTTCCGCCATGTGCTCAAGACCCCCAAGTACCACCACTCAAGGCTCGCGTTCTGCCAGTCTTCGAGGACGAGAAGTGAAATTTCTTGTCTTTGGCCTGCTAGCGGCCAGCACTTGCTGCTGCATCTTCACGCATTGTTGGAAAGGGATTTCTCAAAAGACGTGTCCCGGCAGGCCATGCTCCAGGGCCGCGGCCTGAGCTCCACCCGCTTCTGCCCTACGCCCGCCAGTTTTATGGTTCTGACAACTCCTACACGTGGTTTGATGGGCAGGGGACCCCGCTGATACCAGCGCTGTACTCGCTGGCACAGCACCCGGCGCTCCAGGAGGTGCAGGAACAGCTGCGGGATGGCGAGGCGATCTTCGCGTTTTTCGACGTCACGTATATTATATCGCCCTGCCGGAGCGGATGCACGAAATTTATGAGGCGTACAGACGTGCTTTGAGGGCGCATTCACGTGTTGAAAAAAAACTCAACAGTCGCAAGACGCGTGTTGGACCGTGGCAGGCGAGGAGCCGCCTGGGTTGTCAGTGTTGCAGGGGGACGCTGACCGCAATCTGGGTTGGGAACTGGGCGCTCCCGCCGCAGCAGCAAGGGCTGACGGTGCTTCGCACACTTTTCGGCAGTGACGCGTATGTGCGTCTGCGGCTCGCGCAGGAGCGCGAGGAGCACGATCGCCTGCTCCAACGAATCCCGCCCGTGAGGGACTTATGGGACTTGCAGGCTGCCTGGCGGCTACTGCGCTACTGCGCCGCCCCGCGGGCCAACTGCCTCGCACGACCCCGCCCTGACTCGTT